TGGGTAATGATTCCCATTCGCATTAAGGACCACATAGACACGTGAATCAGGTCTTATGTGGCTCTGGGGATGAACTTTGCCCAGGTCTACTAAAAATGGTGACAATAAAAACATATGCATGATGTTGGCCAGTAAAGGGACCTTCAGATGTAAGAATAAAATTGCAAATTTGCACGTTGTCTTTCTCATATTGGCACCAACCCCTTAACTAAAACTGAACTTAAAATCTGATTGGCATCATGTATATACTGTAGATTTGAAAGCAACTCCTCCCACTGTGCAGATCTATCACCCCAAAACCCCATGGGCCCGCTGCCTACAGCACACCTGATATTCACCGCCGGTGCAGCGTTTGTGCCCATTGTGTGGCTAACGTCTCATAAATCAGCTAGCCATTGACCTATGAAGCCCTTTCATGCTTTTTCCATTTTGCATCTGGGCAGAACTCAGAAATGTGAGCCCCTCGGACATGTGCCGGATCCCAGCTGCTGATGGGAAGATAACTGCGCCGCAGTCCGGTGCGTCACGCCGCTCTGATCGCTGTCAACTCTCTTTCAAGCTTTGGTCCAAACAGTGCGGAGCGGAGGAAGCCAGTCGGGGAGGGGACGCAGAGAAACTATGTGCAGATAGACATCGCAGAGGGAAAGGACAACTGGCCAGGAGGGGGATAAAGTCAACCCTCAGTTATCAGCCGTCGATGTCTTCAGCAGTCTTTGTGGAACTGTTCAAGTGGAAACTTATGATTGCACTTTAGTGTATCGGCTACTCACACTGTTCAAAAGTTTGGGGTCACCCAAGTGTTTTCCATGAAAAGTCACACTTATTCACCACCATACGTTGTGAAATGAATATAAAATAGAGTCAAGACATTGACAAGGTTAGAAATAATGATTTGTACATGAAATAAGATTTGTTTTACATCCAACTTTGCATTCGTCGAAGAATCCTCCATTTGCAGCAATTACAACATTGCACCAAAAACCAGACATTTGCAGCTAGAATAGCCATTTACCACATAAGCAATGTACAGAGTGTATTTCTTTACAGTTAAGACATTTCAATGTGACCCCAAACTTTTGAACGGTAGTGTGTGTATATATACAGTATATATATATATATATACTGTATATATATATATATATATATATATATATATATATATATATATATGCAATTCTTCTTGTATAATTTTTGTAGACAAAGCTTTACGCACAAATATTGTGGCCCTAAAAAGTATATATATATTGAAATTTTACACATTGTGTCATGTTTAGAACCATAAACATGATTCTGCTATTATTTAAAAAACGCCCTGGATCTATAGCTTGTCCGTCCGTGGGAGCGGGTCCCTCCCTTAAAGTGGGCCTCTCAGGTTTCTCACTTTTTCACACGGTTTTGAGGACAGTGATGGTCTGGGACATTAAAGGACATTTATGAACATCAATCAACATTAATGGGCAGAACTGTGTAAAGTCCTCCGAGATAACTAGTGTTTAGGGCCATAAAAAAGTAAAAAAATTGGAACTGAACTGAACTAAAAACAAAAACGTGAAACATTGTACAAATAATCATACAGCAGTTTTCCTGAGTGCATTAAAATCTTTTAAAACATTCCTAATGGCAGCTGGATGTTCACAATGTTTAAATAGTGCCCTGTAAATCTAGGCATGACCCATTTAAGGATTGCAAATGCTTAATTTGCAGGAGAAACTCCATTAAAACTAGTGTTTATAGCATAGCATCCCTATAACCCTATAAAAGGAAATTGGCTCCTGCTAGCTTATGTTTTGGCTAACACTATGATGATGTCAGCACTCGGTCAGTCCACTCCTTAATATATACGGCCTATGGTTTTATCATAGCTATTACTGATTTTGAAAAGGAGCATTTGGACAAAACGTGTGAGGGGGTTTGAGCATGATGATCAGCCATCTATCTACTTTCCCTTAATCCATTTCTGGATTGGGGGGTGGCAGTCAGAGCTGCACCCAATTCACATAGCACCAGCCCCTCACCGATCGTCCTGCAGGCGGTGAGTCCACAGGAGCCTTGGTCTTTCAGCAGAGGCTTCAGGCAAAGTGGGGTTAAGTGTCCCAAGGACACAACAACTGAGGTCCCTCACCAGTTGGAGTTGTGAAGTAGGTCTTGTGGTTGGCTCAAACCCACAACCTTCAGGCCCAAAGGCCAACGCTCTACCAACTGAGCAACTGTCGCCCCCAATTTGCCATTTGCAGTAAAACCACATTGGAATACATGTGATAATATGGCCCCAGTGTGCACCAGACAATGTACTTTATACAAGGAAAATAGTACAAGAAACAATTGTCACTGTGAAACAAATCAACAAATACAGTTTTAATACAATTTAATGCAAGATAATTACAGTTTTTTGTTTGAATTGATAATAGGAAAGAAGCTTTCAGCATAACCAGATTTCCTGCATCTCAGAAAATGATATCTCCTGCAAGAGGAAAGAAGCTGGAACATGGCTTTTCTAGGGTTATTCTAAGAGCTTGATGGATAGAAAACAACTCAACTCTGGTTAAAGGATTTTGCTTAATTTGTGTCCTTCCAGAAACGTCCAGACTTTGCTCTCGACTTCTGTTACAACAGTTGTGCTTCTCTGTGACCTCTCGTATATAAATTGCTACTTGATCCCGCAACATATTTGTGTGAAATTGGCTTGATTGAGGAAATCTGCTCTTGCTGCGACTCTTGACCTTTCTACGCCAAAAATGCCAATCTGCTTTGTACTTGAGGTTTGGACAAATTCCAACAGGCTTTATTCAAGTGCTCTGAAGAATTAAGTCAGAGGCAGTTGCCCAGTGCAAAATCAGTCTCTCCTGGGAATTTGTTTTTGTTATTGTTGATAGGTTTGGGTTGATCGTTAAACTCGGCAGAGATAAAGCAAAAGAAAAAAATATGGAGTAGGGAACTACCGATTTACCTTGTGTTCGCTGGTAATTGGTCGAGATTTAAGGTTTTCACAGGTAAAAGATACATCTTTACCACACATCCACTATTGGATTTTGGCAACCTTTACCTCCACCAATATAGATTTGTTGTACCTCATGTTAAAGCTGAATCAGCACTATAGTATAATGCAATAAATTGGATTATAATTTCATACATAAGGTGCATTTATGTATTTTCAGTACTGTATGTTGCAGTGTTATTTCTCTAATATTGTGTGCAAGTATATTTTGACAAATTCAAATACATTTGAGGTAATGTCCCAAATGTGAATATACAGTAGATATAGTAAAAGAGTAATAATGTTTCTTTTGCAATTTAGTTTAGTTTATTTATTTAAGATGACAGGGACATTGTACAATAAACATTAACCTCAAAGGGAAAGATGCACTGTACCAGGTTAAAGCTCAAGAGCTAATTTAGGTAAGTCCCTGGGGGGTCCCTGGGGGGGGGGGGGCCGATGTTATGATATTACATTAAAAATAACAAACATGGATGGATGTAGAGTCTACATTTGGTCTCTCTCTCTCACTCACACACTCGCTACACATGAGTGCAAGTTTGGTTTGATAATAACCATTTCTTTAAAAGGCGTGAGAACATGAACGAATTTGAGCTTGCTATCAGCTCTGTGGGCAGCATATTCCTCTTACGAGTCACACAGAAAAAAGTAGAGTTTCCAAAAGCTGTCCTACATTTGAGGATTCTACACTCGACTCGCTCGGTGGAACTAGTGGCTCGTGTTGTTATGTTCGAGCCTAAAAAGATGAACTCTTTCAGTGGAGGAGCAGCGGTCTCATGAAGGATCTTATACAGGAAGCAAAGATTTGTGTGTTTAATTAAATCATCCAAACTTTTGTGTTTTGTAAGAATGTGACAGCGATGGAAACGTCTGCTTTTTTATTGTGGATTTTTAGTGAGTTTTTAAATAGTGACTTAAGTGGCCTCACAAGCCTAATAACATTGAGTTTGACAAAATTAATGGGAAATTCCGAATGCTCTTTTGTCTGACAGGGGCAAACACTAGGCAGTGAGCAGGCCATGCCGACTGCAGTCATAGTAATGATGTCCCTCACAACACTGTTGGTTTGTTTCCCTGCTTTTTGTGACTGCTTCAGATCAACAGTAAACAGGGCTCAACATTGGACTGTTGCTTTCCTCTCCTCTCTCCGCTTCAATAGCTGAATCATAAAAATTTTGTACATGTAAGAGAAGACATCACAGATAAAATCCAAGTTAAAATCCGCTGTTCTTTGTGAACAGTGTGTGAACACACTGGTGCTATGCGGCTCTGCTCCTATACGAAAGCACGACTTTCACTGTTGATTAATTCCAATCAATCCCCCATTCACATTTCAAAGTACTAATTATAGTATAATGAGCCAAGAGTGTAAAAGAAGTTAATGTTTAGTAGAAGCATTTGATGTATTGGCAAGCTATAATACTATAGTAATCAAATTAAGTGTACCATAGTGACCAATGGCTCATGTACATTGCAGCATATGGACCAAAATGAGTTGAATGTTACAGTACAGTCTCCGGTTGCCCCTAAACACTACTGTAGCCCCATGATTTCATACCTGAGTGAAATGCTTAGTAACAGTTTGGTGGTTAACTTTTTGGCATGCCTTAAAGCGCTGGGAGTCTTCCTACCTTTTCCAATCGATAAACATCTTCTGAGAGCTCTCAGACACCTGTCCGGATGGCGCTGCCACAACGTTCTGCAGATGGAGGAGATCAAGGCCATTCCTCTTTGACATGTCTTCCTCCCTGTTTTTATTAAAGTCAGCCTGTGATATATTACACACTAACCTCTGTGATTGGCCAGTTTGATGCTTCCTGGCTGTTTTTCCCATATGACCGAACCGTCTGGGAACCTCAAGCTCCGAGACAGACAAGGAAATTGGACTTCGACTTTCTACCTCCCCATTTCCTTCAAAAGGCCTGCGCTTGGCGGTCTCCAGAGGACCAAGGCTTATTCTGATACGATCCAGTTGCAATAACTGACCCGGTTCCTCGAAGCAGTCATGAACGCAGCCAATGCAGCCCTGACCAAGACGGAGGGGGCAGGGCTCCAAATAAAGGCCACATCTGAGAGCTCTGATTCCTCTCAGGGAAACGCAGAAGGGAAAGAGGTCAAAGGTGCGGGAGTTCCCCTACTGTTTTCTCTGCTTTTGTTGTGGCCTGTTATGCAGCTCGGGTGATTAGACAGACCCGCTTTGATGCGCCATTAGGTGGGCTTAACGGTGACGGGATGATGGGTGCGGGTGGAGTGCAGGCGACTGGCAACAGGTGAGTGATCTCCCAGTGACAATGAAAAACAATGATCATTGTGTTGTCAACGGGGCTGAGAACTACTGTAAAAACAGCTTTTAGCAGTCGAGCGAGCAACAATGAGGATTGGCTTCTAGGGCGCTCTTAGAACCACCTAAGTCGAGGTCCCCAGTGAGCGAACTGTGCGTCACTCACTGTCTATTGTGTTGTGGAAATTGGTGCTGTAAATATGTGGTAAAGTTTTACGATTAAAGGAGCTATACCCGTTTCTGCAAGGTTTGAATGTTTAGCACCGCCCCCTAACTCACTCACAAGCTTCTAATTTCCCCTACGCTCTCATTCCATGGAACCATCTAGTTTTATATGCAATCTATATGCAAACATTAGCATAAGCACAACTTCTTGTAAGCTGTACAACAAACACTGATGAACAAAAGCACTGCTAACAAAATATATAACTGAAAGATTACCGCCAGTTCTGCTTCCAAATTTAGTCCGAGCATAGATAGTCCGAGGAAGTCCCGCAGGTCTCTCCCATAGTATCTCCTCTGGAGATAAGTATCTCCAGAGGATACGATGTAAGCTAGCTATGTTCACCCGGGCTTGATTTCTTCTTTGATCATTTTTTCGCTTTAGTTCCCTCTTCTCTTCCTCACTGTTGTGTCGTTTGGGCTGTTTTCCTGTGTATGCAGTTACAGCAAGAAGAGTTATAGCCAATTCTGCTAACATGCCACTGTGTTTAGCAGTGCTGTAGAGGCTAGAGGACGTAGCCTCGTTCTGTGAGTGGAGGAGAGCGGGCGTCACGTTAAGTCTCTACTCAGCACTTTTTACGGCCTGAATTCATACACAAGCTGATTCAATGAGCTTGAGTTTTCAATTAAATTATGTATTTTATTACAACTTCTATGTAGTAATAAGCATTTTTATGAACTCATAAAAAAAAAAAATTGGGTATAGCAGCTTTAAAGCTGGGTTAACTAGCTGGTCCCTTGCGCTCAAAATGGTCTGAGACATTCCTAGTTTTCACTTTCATGTATTTGGCTTCAATTACAGCTTTAGATCAGATTTTTCTGACAGAAAGTGGAGAGCCGATTAGCTTCCAGCCTAAACTGACATTGACTCACAGGGCTCTTCATTACAAAAGTATTAAAACAAATCAACATACATATTGAAACAATGAAATACAAGCAAAATAATCTGAAAATATTTAGCAAAATATAAGTAATAAAATCATACAGTATTCCATAAACTTCTGCCTATATACTTTGGCGAGGGGATACACCGTAAACCATATATTAGGAGGGGACTGACTGAGTTTAGATGTCACCATGTCAACCATGTTTGCTGAATGTGGAACAAAAGCGAATTTGTTCTGACAGCCTTAGCTTTGCTTTGAACCTGTGGCCAAGAGAGCATTAAACATGGAGCAATTACCCACCGCCTGGCATGAAAACAGTGAAGAATTTTTAACTTTTTCTTGAAAATTGTCTATCTCCAATCTGTCCAGATGGGAAAATGACATGGTAGAAAAAACCTGGGCCAAAATGGAACTCGAAAACATGACACCTTGAACAGCCTGTAGGTGGCGCTATTGCATATTGTTGTGTTCAGGTTCATATGCTGTATTTGTGAATGTATTTCTAGCTTCATCAGACAAACATTGGGCTCAAAAAGCTCATTTGAGACAGGAGGCGCTATATAATTCATATCGCGCCTATGACTGTTATACCATTACGTTCAGGCCATAACCTTATATTAGTGATGTGAGTCTCAGCTCTGTAGGTCTTAGCCTATGGCCCTGGGGACTCAGCTAAAAAAAAATATTGTGAAATATGGCATTACTGTAACAATACAACACAGACAGACCAGTTGTAAACAGTAAACAACAGCATTTGTGGTTTTGTGTGTGTGATTTACAATATAACAATAACAAAATATGGATCATTATATATATATATATATATATATATTATATATATATATATCCATCCATCCATTCATTTTCTTCCCCTTAATCCATTTCTGGGTCGGGGGGGTGGCAGTCATAGCTGCACCCAGTACACAGAGCACCAGCCCCTCACTGATCCTCCTGCCCAAGGACACAACGACAGCAGTCATCAGTGGGAGTCGTGAAGTAGGTCTTACGGTGGGCTCGAACCCACGACCTTCAGGCCCAAAGGCCAATGCTCTACCAACTGAGCTACTGTTGCTATATTATATATATATATATATATATATATATATATATATATGAGTATTCTTAATAGTATTAATAACAATGATCAAATATATTTGAATTGTCAGACAGTAGAACATAAATTAAAATAACAGAAGTGAGTAAACAGAAGGGGTAAAAGAAAAAGAAAAACTGAATGCATTTATAATAGTAAGAATACGATCCATTATGATAAGATACTTCTGAAAACCTCTGTGCATGTGTATTTAGAATGTATATGTATAATGTATTCTCCGATTAACATTAAAATGTGTTTATTGAGCGTGGCTAGCTCCGGAGTGGCCGGAACTACTTTGCGGAGTAATCTACACATCTGAATTACAAGCAGAGGGTGCGTTGCCATGGGCAGCGGTCATTATTATTTTGAGAGGTCCGTTATCAAGAAATAATGACCGGTAGAATGTTTTGAATTGAAGTAATAGTAATAATATTAAAGCCGCAAGGGGCTTAGAACGGCCCTTGCCGCACCATGCAAAGGAGGTGGCGCTGCCTCGCCATCGTCCTACAGCCCTGATGGGAGCAACATCAAGGCTGGAAGGTGTACATTTAAGAGATGTTAGGATTTTCCCCTTGACACAAAATGGGGAATGTTTGTCATCGCCACGGCAACAGGATAAAAAATAAGGCCTTTGTTGTGATTCCTCCCTGCTGCTCCTCCTCCCCTCGTGTTTGGGTTCCTCATCCCACTCACCTGCAGAGTTCCACACCTGATCTACATTCCCGCAATCACCAGATGCAGCATATAAACTGTATCTGGCCTTGTCTCCAGTGCCAGATCGTTCGCCACATAAGCGCTTCATAAAATTTTGGCTTGTCCTTTACTTCATTGTGTTGAAGTTTATTTTGTACTGATGCGCTTTTCTTCAGTCCCATCCTGGACCTGTCTTGGTCTTGCCCTGGTCCCGTCCCTTTGTCCTTTGTGTTTCATATTGAGGTGACGTAGGCCCAGGAGTTCGTCACGCACCGTGACCCCTTGCATTCACCATTGTCAAAGCAATAGGCCCATACCCCAGTTGGGGCTCGGGCCTAAGGGGACAGTCACATGGGTTTTTATATACAAACTAGGCCAAGTGGCACGGCTCATCGCCACAGGGGTGTGAAAACGGCACGTGGTCACAAGAATTTTTGCAAGCGTGCCAGAGCAACTGTGCTATAGTACAACGCTCGGTCCAGCTGGTGGCGCTAATTCTAACTCCAGCGACTACCTCGTTGTCCGAGTTAAGTTTCTGTTTCTATTCCTGTTTACACTCTGCTACTGTAGCGCTAACAGCTCAAATTCGGATTGCGTTGTTTAGGGAAAGACACACTTGTTAACATTCCTCTGATGCAAACTGCAGCAGTTCAGTGGGTAACGTGTGTGTGTGTGTGGGCGCGCCGCGAACAAGGGAGCACCTCTTTAGTAACGATCGTGAGCGCTGAGAAATTAATGAATGAGAATGAAAGAATGAACTGTGGCGTACGAGCAGAGCATGGGAACCAGGCAGGATACAAGTGTGTGTTGGTGTGTTCTGGCGATGAAATAAAGACTGATTCTTGAATGTCTGAAGTGTTATTGCAATAGCACCACACTGTGAGAGCGAGGGTCAGAAGGACAGAAGGGAGTTCTTCCCGTAGGAAACCCTTCCCTTTGATGGTTGTATAAAATAACTAAAAAAGTATGTATATACAGTATATACTCACACATATATATGCGAGCAGTTCGCAGGAGCGAAAGTCCTCGCTCCATGTCAGAGAGCAGCAAAGTGATCATGGGGACTCACGCTCATAAACAACCAAAACAGGAGCTAAACCAGGACTAAACCAGGGCTGAGGACGGGTGTCAGTGCTAGTAAACATTTGTCCTTTCCCTGAGTTTCTTCTATGACTGTAAAAGTGCAGCTACAGAAGTTCCGGCGTCAGCATCAAAGCTCCGCCCACTTCTGTGGTTTTTCCCCAACGCAGGACAGGACGTCAGAGGACGCACATGTTTAGAATGTTAAGAATGTGATTGAAAATGCAGATGTTCGGTTATGCGCGGATGCAAATTATTTCATAAATGGGAGGGGGGGAAATATTCGGTTTTAAAATTACCCGGCTACATGGGGACATGGCATTAGACCTACGCCTGCAGTAATGTCCTAACGCAGCGATATCAAACTTTTTAGTGCCACTGACCCCCCTCCTGTGTTTTAACAACATGAGACAAACACGCCCGATGCACTCGAGCACAATGCTTAACTTTCTTCTCTGACAGTGCTCTATGAACATGACCGAATGTGCAACACGAGCGTTCAGGACCCAGTTTTGAGCATTAATGTGGGAAATTCCAACTACAATATAAGTATTGTGTGTGAGTTTTAATGTTCTGTTTTCTTACCGGTGGTGAGGCAGGACGCGACTCTGTGTCTTCTTCCTGACCTTAGCTCCGCAGGCTGACTTACTGACAAACTGTTATTCCCATCGGCTTTTAGCGTCAGCTCTGCCGCAGCAGTGTATGCTCTGGTGGAGGCAAAATCCAAAATGCACTCTGACAGAAGCGAGGCAAACAGTATGTGCCATCTGACCACCACCAACCATTCACACACATACCAGACTCATTCTAGGCCATGGGGATGAGATGTCTTGCCTAAGGACACAACGGCAGTTAGACACTTTACAGCTGCAGCCGCTCCATTGTGGCTGGTGTTCCCAGAGGTAAAGTGTCTTGCCGAGGACACAATGACAGCAGACATAAGTGTGAGTCGGTAGAGAAGGTCTGTGGTGGGCTTGAACCCACGACCTTCAGGCTCAAAGGCCAATGCTCTACA